TATTCTTGGAGATGTTGCATTTTGTTATTTACTGTTGGACAATTCCGTTTGACTAAATTGGTTGCATGTCTTTACGTACAGGCAATCACTATGATAGAGCTATTGTCTTGGTTTTGTATATACTTTCTTGGCTTTTGTGTTTTCTGGAAGGCAGTCTTTATATTCTGATGGAGATAAAACAGTAGCTCTGATATGTTTGTGCAGCTTAAAGGCCCGTAACTTGTTATCAGTGAGCCCTTCATTTTACATAGGACAGTAGCCAAAGCACTGTACTAAAGTTATGAAGCACGATCCTTAAATTTTCCGGTAAGCTAAGGTGTTTTCAAAGGGGAAAGTTTACCTTCATTTAAAATCTAAAACTGGATAATTGCATGGCAGACTGGATAAAAGAACAGTGCAGTGATATCTGCAGGGTCTGCTTGTATAGTTTTGCCATAGGCTAACTTACATTTGTGACTGCAGGTACTGGAAAATTTTACTTGCAAAATTGTCCGTGTCCACGATGCTAGAACAGGACTTGGACTATAATAGATTAAAATGAGACATCATTTTTTGGTGTGCTATTGTGGCCTTTCTGCTTTATAGCCATAGGTACTATTTGACCTGGCTAAATTTAAAGTATTAGTTTCAATTAATGTTCCCTAGTGTGAGTCAACTGGAGGGCGAATTCTTTTTAATATTTAAAAAAAACCCCAAAGCACCTTGATTGTAAACGAAGCTAGTACTTGTTTTGTTTTCTTGTTAAAAGCTTTTGTATTAAGTATTTAATGAGAGTAGGAGGATCCTGGAAATCCACTTTTCTGCCTAATATTGCTGTTGGCAGCTTAGTATCATTAGGGGAAGTACTTTTGTGTCATCTCTTACTGCATCCTTCTTGCTGGGGAATGACAATATACACACGTATGGGTGTGTACACGCATGGTTTGTGTGTGTATGTGTGCATATATGTGCATATAAATACAGTTGCTTTATTTCATGAATGCTAGTGTAATATTCTCCAGTTTTGGTTGCAGTCCTTTCTGGCGGTGACCTCACGTGTGCTGCTGTGATAGTTTTTTCCTTTCATATGTTAGAGCGCACAAGTGGAATAATATGTTGAAAAATTCAAAGCTAAATTGCCTGCAGGACAGACAGCATTTTCATGTGTGTAGCAGCTAATATTGAACCCCACCTGCAGGGATTGCGGGGGTTTGTTACCGTCCTGCTTTGCTGCTTCTCCCATCTTTCCTGTTCTCTCAGCCTGGCTTGTCAGTTGTGGGTTTTGCACCACTGTTCTTTAAACACTGCATTTTGGAAACCTTTCTGTTTACAAGCTGCAATGCAGCACTGTTGTCTTAACGTTTTGACTGACCCTAATTGCTATGACACATGTAACGAATGATGTTTTGTACTTTCAAGGAGTGTGCTAAAAAGGTGATGACATATGAGTTACTGAATAAGGCACTGTGCAACTCGTGCAGTAGAGTTTGTGCAGACCTTATGTAGCATAGTAAGCAGTTCTCCTGTGCTCATACTTGTTTCCCGTCAGACTGGCCTGTCTCCAGCACCGAGGCTGCATCGCACGCTGGAGTTTCAGAGGGAGAGAAAAGCAGAGTGCTAAACCGATCTCTCAGCTTGAAGAAGCCTAATTTGATTAGGCTTTGATTTAGGTCTCAGGATTTGTGGCAAATATGTCACTGTGTGTGTGTATATATGTGTGAGGAAACTGAAAATAGGTGTAAAATTAAAAAAAAAAAAAAAATTAAAATTTCAGATTGTCCTTTTATTTTTGTTTACTCTTCAACCACAATATGATTTATGCTTACTGGAGTCTCTGAACTTCAACTCCCTTGAAGAATCTCTGGTCTATCACTTTTTTGATGTTGCTTGGAGAGGGCTGTGTGTGTGCGCGGGTGCAAGCGCTCGCATGCTGTGGTGCTCTGGGCAATTTCACTCCAGAGTGCTTCCCTTCCTTTGTTTAACCTATGACCTGGGAAAACAAGAGTTAATCAGAAGTTCTAAGGTAGCTAAGAGGAAGGGGAAGTGTTTGGTTACAAATTAAATATGAGCAAGTCATAAGCCATAAATCTTCAGTAGTGCTACCAGTTGTGCTACTTAAGTTGCATGTGGTACAGAAAGTTTTTGGTTATAAATTCAAGCTCCCTTTCTTTGGAGGGAGTGTTTAAAGGCTGCCTCGAGGACTTGTTTTTTGTAAGAACAAAATCCACATCTTTTCTTTTTTCCTTTTGTCAGAGATCTAGAAACAAATTCAGATAACTATATTTCTTGATTCCACCCCCCTCCCCAACTTTAGCTGGTCAGAGTTTGGTCTAATAAAAGCAGAACTGTTTCACTCTTGAGTAGTCAACACATGGAATAAGTGATGAAGTAAAAGTATTGAAGATGGCAGGATAAATTAGTTTTCTAATGTATCCAAAGCTTTCAGGATGAGAGAGATCCTGAATTCTGCCATGACAAAGGAGGGAGGTGAAAATTAAAGTGCGATTGTCTAATTTACGCATTTTGTGGTGGGTTGGTTTGTTTTATCTTGCCTTGCCCCTCTCTTGAGCAAGAGCTGCACAGATCCCTATGTATTGTATTGTGTTGAGATCTGCTTCAAATATCAGCTCATTGCCTCAGCTTCAAAACGGTGAAGCTTCTCTCCTCAAAATGGAAAGTTATTCTTAAAATAAGAAAAAGAAGTGGTTATGCTGAAGTGCTAAACCATTATTTGGAAAGTATGGACTAAAATAAGGAAGAGTTAGTGTTAAACCAAGGACAATAATGAAGTTCATGATAAGATGCTAGTGAAGAGAAAAGGGAATGCCGACAAGGAGTGAGCAAGTATAACAGAGAGAGGGCTATACCTTTCCTTTTGTTGTATGGAGGGTTTACTGATGTTTTGGCATTGTGTGAATATGAGACTTCATCTGGGCTATTTTTATTAGAATCATAGAAGCTCTTTTCTCGATGCTGAGTGAAAGAATTAAAACTGGATTTGGATGGACTATTCGCATGGATAGAACCTACAGAGTTGTCATGTTTGGTGTATTGCAGTAACAAAGAAACTCCCTTGAATCTGTAGTGAGGTAAGGTTTAGCTGTGAGCACACAGGCCCTCAGCAGGACCGACAAGTAAATCGTTAAGAAGGAACCCAACCTGAGCCTGGTTTCAGAGCTCAGCATCGGCCCTGTTGGGTGCATGCACCGCTTGTCGCAGGCGCTGCCGAGAACCTGGTCTGTCCTCAGCCCCAGGCTCTGGGGCTCTAAATGAAGTGCAGCTCTGCCAAACTAGAAGCTGAGGTAACTTGCTTTTGTTTATTGCTTTGGTACTGACACATATATTATAAACACAGTAGTATTTTAGAAGATTCTCATTTTAATTCTGTAAATGTAGTTTTCCAGCAAAGTCCCTGAGCAATTAAGTAGAACTTTGAAGAGACCTTCCTGAGATAAGTTGTGGTTTCATACTGTCGGGGAGCTTTCTGCCTTCTTGGGTTTCTGTCTTTTCAAACTCTTTTGATAGATGCCTTGCAAGGATTTGTTTACCAGGTTCTTAATCTCTACTTAGCAGATATGTTTTGAGAGGATTTCTTCTTACTCTTGTAATGGCTTTTAACTCTGCTGAAGTTTATTTAACTAAACAGAAAGAAAGAAATTTATCTTTTAACTAATCCTTCTTGATTGTTTACAATATAATGCCAAACTTAAATGCTGTTTAAAGTGGTAATTGTCTGTCTGTCTGCTCTATTCTAATACATAGTTTATAAAGATGCTTAGAGCATATTAATTTAAATGATAATACTGTCATAAAACATGAAAAGTTAAGTTGCTTATCAGTGTATTTTGATAAGCTACTTACATTTTACAGTAGCATTTGCAGGCTTCAAACAAATGTTAACGATGGAGTGCCATTCACTTTATCTGTCTCATATATAGCTTCTCACTTCATTTATTACTAAAAGTTATACAGTTAGGAACCATGGGGCACTCAATTCTTTATAGTTGTCAGGATGTAGTCATATTTTGTAAAAACTTTAAATCCTGTCTAACTATATCAAAATAGAATCCATTTGCTTCAGAAAGCATCTGTGATTAAAAGAAGAATCAGTTTGTGCGTCATGCAAACTTGCTTTCCTATTTGCTGCAGCTGAGGGGAAATTCCTTGCTGGTATTTAAAAAGGGATTGAAATAATGAACTGTGCCATGAAAATAGGGCACAAAATCATACCAAAGCATACTGTAGTGAAAAGTAACATCTTAGATATCTGTTGTATTTTATCAAATGGAAATGTAATGTAAATGAAAAAGATGTGATTTTTTCTGAGTGTTTGTCTTTTAATTTTGTTTCTTTATTGCTTTTGTAAGTTGAGTGCAAATTTACCGAAGGTAAAGTTTCTATTTGACCTAAGAGCTGGGCTAAATACAATGATGGAATAAGATTTGACAACAGTTAAAAACTGAGATACTGGTATGCAATTTTAAAAATCCAGTTGTCTCAGTATTCAAAACCAAAACAACTGTCCTCAGCTTACTGCAACCCTGAGCTGCCGTACAGAAGACTAGTTATTCAGTGTACACTTTGGGAAATAATTACGATAAAAAACGTTCTACCATACAGGGACATTGGTGTACATTTATCTTACAGGATAAAAACTTCCATTGGGTTGTGTGTTTGCTATGTACAGGGTGTGAAGGAAGGCGAACTCCCAGTACTGGCCTGCCTGATACCAGAGCTTGTTTATACCTGGTGTGACACTGGATGTTTAGTGCCACAGGTGGCGGGCAATGCTGGGCAGGAGTAAATACTGAAGGGCGATCCTCAAAGGAAAGGGATGCTTCAACCTTCTTGCAGTGTTCTCCTTCAAATGGAAGGTCTGATGTGGCTTTCCTAACAGTTATTCATAAAGCGTCATGTGCAGTTGTTACGATGCATCTCTATAGTAAAGGCTAGCAATCTTGGATTTATTAACTGAGATTCAGCAAGTTAAATGTATGCTTTTTCTTTCTTTCTTTTTTTAGTTACCTCCCATGGTTTGAAGTCTTTTATAAGCTGCTCAACATCTTGGCAGATTATTCAGCAAAAGGACAGGTATTATTCTGAAGTACTAACCCTTCTTTTCCCTGCCCCAGTATCAAATGAGGGAGAGAGGATGTAAGCAAGCTGTTTTAAGAAGTGCTTGTATCAGAGATGACCATATGAATTAATAATCTGTATGATGCAGTAATATAGAAGATCATATTTAGCCAAGCTCAAAGCTTGGCAAGTACCTTTGAAAAATAAATATGCTTTTAATTTATTTTTGGGAGAAGATAAAGTCCAAGAATGTGACTGTGGATCCAACATAAGTTAGTGGTTTCGCTGCAGTCATCCGTACTGTGCAGACTTTTTGATTACCTGAACTGTATTCAGCACATCCATGCAATTCCCGTGTTGCAATTTTATGAAGCTTTGACGTGTCTTATCCAAGTTTAGTTGTCATGTAAAGTAAGCGTAGAACCAAGCTTACTGATGCAAAATGCTTACCCACGTAGCATCGTCTAGCCGAAGGCCTTCAGATGCTGTTTGGCTTTTAGAGCAAAACAAAGTAAAAATCAGTCTTGAGCCATTATTATATGCTTCTACGTTTATAAATGATAATTCACGATACAGAGAAATCACGTATGTGATTGCAACGCCTAGCCTGGTTTCATGCATTTAAAATGTTACAAGTATAATCTTCCCAGTTAGGTTGCTACTTTGATTTATTACCATTTTGTGGTAATAATTGTATTTTGCATTTGTTGGGATCATTCACGTTTGAGGTAGAAGCACTTGGGATCACATCTTCATCTAGATGGATTAAATACATTTGGCTTTACCCTAAGCTAGTGAGTTGTTATAAAGAACTTGCAGTGAAAACTGGCTTGCTCTGAGCTGAGTAACTGTGTACTGCATAGGTTGGTGACTCAGTAGGTTGCAGAAATATGTAGAAATACATATGAAAACAAAACATATTCTAAAAAAATCATGTTATGAAACCCAGCTGTCAGAGGAAACTACATTTATTTCTGTTCATAGTATAATGTATAGACCTATTATCACATTTTTCTTTACACTTGTGAGTTCTCAAAGCCCCTAATTCCACAAACATTGCCCTTCTGTCTTGCAGTTTAGCTTGTTATAGCAATGCCTACTTAGTATTTCTTTTTTTTTTTTTTTTTCCTCCTTATTGCAGGACAGTCAAAGGAGTGAGCTCCTAGAAACATTTCATAAACTTACCATCCCTGAGCCAGGAACCTCTGTTCATCTTGGAGTGGTAAGTGAAGTGGGAGAGATGTAAATGAAGGTGTTTAATTTTCATTGCACATCATAATAGAGGAATATCAAAAGCAGTTCTTTTTGGAACTTGGTACTCAGATGTTGTTTTCCTGTGAGGACACAGAGGTGTGAAATTCCCCTTTTCACATTTGGGGCCTTCTGTTTCCCTCTCCTTAACCTCAGATGTCTTTGAAATGCTGGTCTTTGATTGGAGGAAGATTGTGTATATTCCCCATGGAAATTGCTCTCCATATCGTCTGTGACCTGTGAGAGGTCACAGAGCAGCAACATGACATTTATTGCCTGCACTTCTGCAGAACTCCTAGATCTTGCAAGTATGCAGGCGGGACAAGACTGGAAAGCAAACAATCACGTACCTGTTATAGCAGTATTTTGAGTATTAACTGTTTATCACATTTTCCA